TGGCCAAGGAAATGTTAGTCAAAAATTTGACAGTTCAGAGTGAATCCAGTTAGTCGCAAGCCAGGTCAGCGACAGCTTCGCAGCAAAAGATAAAGGTATGGTAGCGTACTTGAAGAAGGTCATAGGTCTGATGCACGCGGACGCTTTGTGAAAATTAGCTAGCAGTAAGGACTCAGAACTACTCAAAATCATACCAGTTGAATACCTCCCCAAGCCTTCTATAGCCAAAGCAGAAGAGGTGATGTGGGATGGAGGAACCCCACTATGGATGAAACCAATTATAGCCTACCTTAAGGACCACATCTTGCCGGAAAATAAAGAGGATGCTCGCAAAGTTAGGCATAGAGCCCCCCCCACTATGTACTACGAGATGAAATACTTTACAAAAGAGGCTTCTCTTCCCCCCTTCTTCGATGTACTGAAGGAGATGAGGCTAACTACGTCTTATGAGAAATCCATGATGGAATTTGTGGCAACCACACAGGGGGCCCCGCATTAGCCCATAAAGTACTAAGTCATGGGTACTACTGGCCAACCTTGAAAAATGATGCAATGCAGTTCGTGAAGAGGTGCGACAAATGTCAATGCTTCTATTTCATTCAGAGGCAACCATCCCAAGAGCTAACCGTAGTATCCAGGACATGGCCATTCGCCAAATGGGGGGTCGACCTAATATGACCAATGCCGAAGGGAAAATGGAGTGCACACTACGCAAATGTCTCCATTGATTACTTTACCAAATGGGTCGAGGCAGAACCACTAGCTAAAATAACCGAGGCTAACACTTCTAAGTTCATATGGAAGAACATCATATGCAGTTTCGAAATTCCACACTCAATCGTTATAGGCAATAGGGCGACAATTCGACAATAAGAGGCTTAGAGACCTATGTGATGAACTAAGGATCAAGAAACATTTCTCTTCCCCTCACAACCCCAAGCAAATGGCCAGGTCGAGACAATAAACAAGACTATAAAATACCACTTGAAGAAGAATCTTGATGCATCAAAGGGTGCATGGGTAGACGAGCTCCCTTATATGCTATGGGATATTCACACAACCAGCCAAACGGTAACATGGGAAATCCCATTTTCCATAGCATATAGAACTGAAGCCATGAGCCCGGTCGAAGTGGGCTTTCCTTCACCTCGCCGCCTACGATTCAACGAGATATCTAATGATGAGATAAGAAGATGTGAGCTCGACTTCCTTGAAAAAAGGAGGGACGACTCCTAAACAAAGTTAGACTCCTTTCAAAGGAAAATGGCAATGTACTACAATGCAAGGATAAAGAAGAAATCTTTCAGATAAAGCGACCTGGTACTCAAGAGGGTCTTTCTGTCCTCTAAGGAACCTAGTATGGGGACGTTAGGTCCAAACTGGAAGGGATCCTATGTCTCCATCAACTTATTGACTGTGGCAAACTCATAGGTTAAAAATGACAAGCTCATTGATTATGGCGAGCCCATTAATTGTTAACGTACAGGATAAAAATGACAAGATATTGATTATGGTTAGCCCATAAGTTAAGTGTAACAAGCTCATACACTCCTTCAAACGGTTTAAATATGACAAACTTATGTCTCCATCAACTTATTGACTGCGACGACTTATAGGTTAAAAATGACAAGCTTATTGATTATGGCGAGCCCATTAATTGTTAACTTACAGGTCAAACATGAAGAGCTCATACGTTATGGACGCTTAGTAAAATACAATTATGTCGAGACCATTAGTTATTAACTTACAGGATAAAAATGACAATTTCATTGGTTATGGCAATCCCAATGATTGTTAACTAACCAGTTAAAAATGGCTAACTCATACATGCAAATAAGGCAAGCCCATGAACCAATAAGATCCATTCAGATTAAAAATTGAAGAGGAAAAAGCTCATTCATATAAATTCGAATCCATTACAAAAAGGGGGAAGGAACTATTACAAAAATGTTGTAAAGAGAAAACACTTCAACATCTTGATTGGGTTCTTCCTGGGCATTCACCTCTTCCACTGAATCCTCCTCTATAGCAGTAGGAGTAGAAGGGTCATCTGACAAAAACTTGCCCCTTAAAGAAGAGAGATCCAGTTGGGGATGCATCGCAGCGAGCATATTAAAGACTTTAGTGTACACGACCCTCCTCTAATATATGTCGAGGCTGTTGTACTCTACCGTCTCATGGAAATGGGTGACATAGTTATTGACTGCTGCCTCCCCTATCCCACTCAACTATTGCTGGAGGCTAGCACCTTTGTCGTCAACCCTTCGACTTGAGCCCTCAGCTCCCTTTTCTCCTTATTAGCGGCCCCCAAGGCTGACGAAGCAATCCTCTGGAGGTTATCAGAATTCTCCACATACATCATCAAAGCATTCACATCGGCCTTACAAAGGTGGACTTCCTTTTTCAATTCATCATTTTCCTTTGTAATTGCATCCACCTTCAACTATGCCTCGGCCTGCTTAACCTTGGAGGCCTCTATGGCTTCGTTAGCCGAAGCTTTAGCTTGGGCCTTAATCAGCTTTGCTTCGGTATCATTCGCCTTATCAAGGTAATCCCTATTGAGGCCCTGTAGTCACCTCAACTCCATTTGAACATTTAAAAAGAATCCTTGAGAGCGAGCCTGCAGGGCAAGACCCGCCTCCACCATATGGACCGCATCACAGGTCTCGACATATGAAGAATACTTGTCGGTCTAGTATTTATGATGTATCCTTGTAGCCCCCCGAACATCAGCAGGAAGCATCTCCATCACCGTGGAGGAAATTTCATCCAACCTCTCCTAAGGAAATTCTGAGCTTTTCCTTTAGAGGTCACGTCTCTAACCTTTTTCCCACGCTTCTGTTTAATGAGGCCCGCCTCGTCCTCTGTCGTCTCCTCATCAACCATTTGCACTGAGGTTATGGGCTCTGCTATAATGGGCCACCGGAGGGATTCTCCTATGGTTGTTTGACGTTTGGGAGAAGGGGTAGGCTCAGTTTTCTTCGTCAAAACTAACTTCTTTTTCGATGGCTTCATTAAGGAAGTTTCTCCTTCAAGATGTCATAGGTATGTGGCTGCCGACAAAAGCTAAAAAATAGCCACTCTACTTCATAAAAGCAACAAAAAAAGTAGATTGAGCGTATTTGCTGCAGGCTGCTAAATATGTAAAATATATAGAGTATCTATGAGTAGAAACTTCTGGCTGATATGGTATTGGTGAAAGATGCCATTCATAAAAGATACCGACCACATCGAAAATACACTGCAACAGGAGATGACACCTCACCTCAAAAGTACTCCTTCGGAGAGAATGATATCACCTCCGAAGATGCTGCCAACTAGTTTGAAGGAAGTGTCCAACCACCTCGCTCCATTGTCCAACCACTTCGGAGAAATATGAGGGAGCGAGGTCGAGTGGAGTGTCAACCTTTGTGTGGTCTCTTTGCTTTGTCTTTACTTACATAGCTAGTACGCGGCCTACCTTGTAGGATGAGGCATAACAAAATTGCTTGAGGGGAAATAAGGCAAGAAAAAAAAAAGGCGATTGCATTTAATTAATTTAAAATTGGAAAGTATAAAATTTCAAATAAGTAAGGCAATGTTCTCAACTTCCGGTTTTCTTCATTTTTCATTTTCAATAATAGTTTAATCCCAAATTTAGATTCCACTAATCCACTTGCACTTAAGAAATCTTGAGAAACGAAGAGAGTCATCTAAAAAGACAAGGCCAACACATCTTAGCATTTTTTTGGGGGGGTTAACACCACTATTAAATATTTGACTGAGCCAAGTATCACCTCGAGTACACCATATCTTCTTCTTGTATATTTTTTGTTTCTTAAATTTATATTTTGTTTTCAAAAACATAGAAGCTGAATTCAAAACTTTATACATTTATTGACGATTTCAAGTTCAGCATAATTCAAGTTTTTATAAAGGTCATGAACAATTTTTTGCTCTCCAGTTGTGGGTTGAGGGTTCAAATTGTTTGTAAAATCATGTGAAATCACATGCTTTAAAAACTTGTATGGTTTCGGGCTACGTAACATTGAATACCTGCTACTTTACTTACCAATGTCTATTTCAAATGGCAACCTTTGCACCTTTCTCAACCACTCCAACGATGAACATTTATGTCACATGCAATGCAGGTGAATAATAGTACCAATTTAGGTGGTTAAGTTGATCAATTATTTATTCCTACTTTCAACTTTTATTACTATACTACTAGTAGCTACTTGCAAATATAAAACAATTTATAAAATAACAAGTCTCGTGATGTACTCTTTTTTCACCACATTTTTCAAATAAAATAATATTACACACAAATATACAATTTTTCATATTTTTTCAACCACACATTTTCCCATCAATCACTACTCCAAAATTTATAAATTTTCCAAAGTGGGGGCCAAACAATGCGTAAAATGAACGGACGCTGAAGCGGTCTTCCGTGTGGACTTGTGTAAATTATAATAGTGATCACTGAACTTTTATCTCAAGTATAATTATGTCAATCTTCAATTTAACATCAATTGAAGTACTTCATTTTAACACTATTATTTTGTTATATGTTGTGTTTTTTACTACTTATTTTATATCTTTTTTTTAGTATTACAAGTTAGGCGAAAGTTCAGTGACCGTCGGTATAATTAACCTGTTAATAAAAATTTCTTGAACAAACTTTATAAGAGTCCTTGAACCGATCACAAACGAAATATCAGATGAAAATTCCATTTTCTCTGCAACTTAAGAAATGCTCAAATCTTGAATGGCGAAATAAAATTGTGAGAACCCAATAAATATTTCAACAAAAATAATAAATTAAAAATTGTTCATGTGGGCCAAGTCTTTGAATTCGAATCCAAGTTGACCCGATTCTAACCTCCAAAGCTGGTCGGCAGATGCTTATGGAAAAGCTGAGTGCATATGATTGGTCCCTCTTTTCCAGAAAAACATCTGTTCTGCTTTTTGCAGCTTTTCGTGTGATTTGTTGGTTAGAAGTATTAGTTATAAGAAATTTATTCATGGGTTTCACCCCACATTTTTAAAAGATACCTCTCACATTTGCTACAACTACCGTTGACAAAGAAATCCGAGCTGGCCCTAAGAGTCTTGGGCCCCACATTGGCCCCACCTTGTTTAAGGTTGTGTCTATACTCTATCGCAACTTGTTCAAACACTTCAACTTCAAACATGTTGAGATTCAATTTAGGGTTCATTTCGTCTCTCACAAATGCAAAACCCAATTGATCTCTTGGATTGAATGCTTCCAATTCGTTGAACAAAAGGCATGAGAAGAGATTGGTAGTTGCGCCATGCTTCCGCAAGATTAGAGCAGTGTCCGGTACATCTGCAAATATACAAAAAATTATTTCATTCATTATACTTAACAAAGACAAAGTATCAAATAAACATTTTAAATGTGTTTAGTCATACCCTCAAGATGAGAGCAATATTCGACCAATCTACAATGCATATCAAGTTGTTTAGACGTTACATCTTAGAGTGATTCTTCTTTAGTCATGTTTCATAGTATCTACCGCAATATACTAAAAACATTACAAGTTCTTAAGATTCTAGAAACTGGCTAACTTTATGCTTTTCTAAAAATGATAAATATAAAATTTTCATTAGTTGTCACGACCCTTTCAATAATTTGTATATTATACTCCAAATTTGCTTATTAAAGGAATAATGAATTGAGTTGTTCTCTCATTTGATTATAAATTATGGAACAACCTTTCTTGGAAGAAACCTTTTTGGTTTTCATTGGGACAAGAATATTCTATAAACTATACAATATATTTGGCCAAAGGAACACCTCAAAAGCAAAGCAACCAGATAATAATGTTGAACAGTCCAATACTTGTGATGTACCATCTTCTACTAAACTACGACACTACCGACAATTCATACAGCTCATTGCTTTTGGCTTCAAGAAACTTCATCTCGAATTTTAGGGAGTTCTACGACTTTGGTATACAGTAGTCGACAAAAAATACGCGTGTTTTCAAATAAGTGATTTTTTCGTTAATCAAAGTCAAAATAAGTATTGCACACTTTATTGTCAAAATAAGTATTACCGGTGGGATAAGGCTTCTCTGGACTCCACGGTTGCAAGCCATTCTCACAGTACGTCTCCATCTGCGTCTTTAGTGCGTCGACGTCCCACCATTTCTTCCATCTAGCAGTTGCCATTGCTTCTTCCATGGTATGAACATAATATGGATGCTTTGATACAGCCATATCCACTTTTTCCTGAATAACAAGTGAGTGTATCAACAGAAGTGGATCAACCACCAGTTGGAGCTTGGAATCTACCCATATACTGTATTTCGAGTTTGGAAAAAGACGATGAATTAAGTATTTGGGTATTTCTCCATTCATTGCTGCGTTTTTGTACAAATACGACGTTGAAACTTTGACAATTCTCCATACGCCAATCTTCTTTTCCTTGGATTTTCTTGAAATCATATTGTGATAGTCCAATCCCTTGAGAGTTGTGTCATCAACAAACAAGAAGAAACACACATAATCCAGGGATTTGGACCCTAGGCCTTTTGGCTGCCGGATTTTGTCGTGATCATTGAATATAGCAGAGATGACCACCAGCCCGTCGCACTTTTCCATGGAAATTCGATCTGTAATCGGACAAAAACATGATAACTTAATTCCCATCTACATCTCGAGAAGGCATTAAGGCATTTTTGGTACACAATATTATTTCGTGCAATTGAAAGATTAATTACTTCTTATGGTTAATTAATATTACCCGCATTACCAAACCAGCCATTACTGTTTATGGCTTTATTGAAACGAGACGGAAATCATCAAATAAAATAGAACAGAGCAGGTTTACCTGTACTCTTCAATGCAATATAACTAACCTGAATTACTTATTGGAAAGCGTTTAAAGAATCCACAGGGGATTTCAACTCCATCCTCGCGATGATCAAAATACGATAACCTTTTCTCAATACTGAAATTCCCACCAAAATTCTCAGCATTCTCCTGCATGTACCTCAGAGGCTTGGAGCCTAATGCCGTCGAATTTTTACATATTTCTTTAATTTCCTTCAAAACCTCCCAATAATCTAACCAAAAAAAAAAACCATCAACGTAAATCCGCAATCAAATCGAAAAACAAGAGAAATTGAGCTTGTCAATTTCAAAAAATCTTACCTGAAAAATAAACAGGAGAATCGCAAGAGGAACGCAGAGTGGGAACAGCGTACTTGTGTTCTCCATAGGATGTGGGGTATGAGAAGAGAGGGGATTGAATGGGATCGAAGGGTGAGGATCTGAAGATACATTTGGTGGAAGAGAGGGCTAGAAAGAGAGAGGAGAAAAGGTAAAAGAGAGAGAAACAGAAGAGCTTTGATTGGCAGAGCAGTGGTTTGGAGATTAGCTTCCCCATTTCCTCATGACGTTGGAGTCATCACCTCATCATATGCATTTCAGTTTCTCTGCTTTTATTAAACATAAATAATATTGATAGGGATTTTTTTGGAATCACAATCATGTCACTTGTATAATTTTTTTTTTCTTTTAATATAATTATGATCAACAACATCGTATTCATCAATATTGTCTATAACAATTTTATATAATTTTGACGACATCAATATTGTCGACAACAATTGTACAAAAAAGTTAATTCTTGAAATCATGTAAGAGTTATACTTTGGTATACATCCTCAATGACATTCCACTTTGTGTGGAGGAAATTTGTGCAATGATGTGATTTGTGTCTTCAAAATCAATGGTGTAGATCATGTCAAAACCAAAGTATATATGTAGAGTGGTAATGCTAGTGGTACATCACCACTAACATAAGGGTCTACATAATGGACACCTGGCGCTCTTTCATTAGAGGGAGGATTGGTGGGGTCGGCACTCCCTCCAATGAGAGGGTGCCGGGTGTCCATTATGGATACCTTGATGTACAAGGTGATGTACAACAAGAATTATCCATATGTAGCATGGTTGTTTTTATTGGGATAGGAGAATTAATCTTTTTTTAATAAACTTACCGTTTATCTCTCAGCTAGTTGATGTGAAATTTTGTTTAAACATTTTTCCTTCACACGATCCATCAAAATCCACCTCTTTCACTGTGGGAAAACGTCTTATGTAGGCACAATTGCTTTTAGAACCAACTACAAATTTCACTACCCATAAAAATTAACTAGTGTCACGCCTTAAATCTGCATGGAGATCATGTAAATGTCACCTAAGAATCGAAGGCCACATATTGAGGAGTGGAAAGATCAATGCATTAGAAAACAACCGCACAAATTGAAATCCACTTAGTAAGCCTAATGATCGCGTGGGACTTTCTTTCTCGGGAAAAAATAAATTTATTGAGTGGCGAACTATGATCCTATTTAGTCCGGATTAAAATTTGATTTTAATTCAAGTCAAAGTCAAACAATCGATATTAATCATATCTTTCAGGGTCCCACAACTTTTCAATCACACATTTCAAAAATTTCTATCACAATCTACTAAAAATCAATTTTTATCTCCACCAAACACCTATATGAAGGCTGCACATATCCTAGTACAATACTTTTCTTGGAATGGGAGACAGTTCAATCCTAGTAAATAGGCTGCACATATACTTTCCGTCTAATCTATTACTCCAAGTTTGAGTGGCCGCTTGCTAATAAATTCTAAATTTTAACATGTATTCCTTGTAACAACTTGCTAACATTTTGGTTTTAATAGATTTTGATAAAAAATGATGATGTGTAGCGCAAAAGTTGATAAAAGTTGTGGGTTATATAAAATATGTGATCAAAAATAAATTTGAAGAAAAAGTGAATTCTTGAGAATGGCCCCAAACATGGGCTAAAAATTAGTTAAAAATTAATAAACTTAGAATTGGAGACATTACAAGGAATAAATGTTTTGAGTGGCGAACTATATATATAGGCTGTACATATCCTAGTACAATCCTTTTCTTACAACGATGTCAAACCTTCATAGAAAAACCTTTGTTACAATGGCAACTGGCTTTCAGAAATAATAGTTATTGACCTCAAAAAATATGCCAACGGAATCCCTTCCACCTTCCCTCCACGTAGACATTACCTACACACTAGAACGCCCCGTTAGGAGGCAAAGACTGTCGATCGAGAAAAATGTCCGGGATCGTTTGCACTTGGACGGTCAAGTCAACTGTCGGACGAGAAAAAAGAGAGTGCAAGAGAGGGGAGAGGGAATTTGGATGGGGTTAGAAATCATACCTTATTGTGAATAAAACTTATATATATAGAAAATTTTAATGGACCATTTGTTAATGGGTCAAGCCCCAAATGCAATTGTTTAATTAAATAGCTCAATCAATTGAATAGTCGATACTACGTCAACATATATGTGACCCCTCTATCTGAGCATGCGGCGTAATTTATGATATAACAATAGTCCCCTAGGTTTGAATCCTATATTAATGTGGGTCCGCCTTCGAAATATAAGTCGTCAAGATTACCTCAGAAACATGAGTTGCTCCGACAAGCGAGGACTTACGAATTGCTTAAAAAGTATGCATCGATCCCAAATAGGTGTGGACTTACGAATTGCCTTAAAAATATAAACTGTTTCAATAAGTGCGGACTTAGGAACCGCCTCAGAAAATATCTGTGCGAGCCTAAGTAAGCGAGGATTTATGAATTGCCTCGAAAAATAAATACTGTATATAATTTTTCGAAGTTTCGACAGCATCTCCTCTTTAATAGGGACTAAACTAACCTATATTACAACATAATATCTCCAACTGCATATAAATAAAATAAATTTGGGGTCCATTTGCCCCTCAAATTAATCTTGGCGATAAATTGAAAAATGATATATCACATTTTTCAAGATATAATAGACATAACGTCTATCATGACCTGCATGCTTGCACAACTTAGTATAATAGTAGTGTTATAGTGAAGCAACGTGTTGATAATGTAGATAATGTGACATACGTACTAGTAGTAGTGAAAATAGTATCATAAGATGCTAGCAATGATGTGGGATGTGTACTTGGCAACAATAGCAGTAATAATATAATGATACTAAGATACTAGTATTACAATAGTCCTTCAAGTCTGAGTCGAATATTAATATACTGTTCAGACTTTAAAATATAAGTCACTTTGATGAAGTTGATGTAGAGATTAGACTAAATATATAAGCAGTTGTGATAAGTTGATATAGAGGTGATGCTCTAAATGTGAGTAGCAGAGTTGACGCTCTGAATATGAGCAGCAAGGGCGATGCTCTAGATATAATTAACTATAATAAGCTAACATCCTTACATAGGGGTGATATATCCATGCCAAAGGCTTCCTCCATGATATTTGATCCAGCCATGAAAAGCTTAGTCTTCGTAGGTATTAAGGTTGGCCCACCCCCTTCTTACGAAGCTGTAAATAATATAAACTCTCTGAAAATTAGGAGATGTAACATAGCTGAAGTAGAAGCAAAGCTCTGAAAATAGGCAGTTGTAAGACAGTCGATGCTGATGCATGATAAGCTCTTTGAAGATAAATGCAGCTGTAATGCAACATTTCGTAAGGTGAGGCATCTCACAGATCGAGGAATGGCTATCGAGTTAGTGACTTCTCTTGAACTTTTGATGTCTTATATGCTAACCTCGAATAGAAGAGGTCTTATAACTTGGTTCAACGATAGTGAGAGACGAAGAATAAACTTTGCGAGATCAGAAATAATCATTTGGCGAAAAGGGAATAAACATCCTGCGAATAGCTCTCGAACTATTGGAGTTTTATAGGCGGCCTCTGATGGACGAGGTCTTACAACTTGACTCGACAATAGTGAGAGGCGGGGAATAAACATCACGCGAGACCAGAAATAATCATCTGGCGAGACGGGGAACAAACATCCCGCGAATAGCTTTCGAACTATTGGAATCTTATAAGCGGCCTTTGATAGTCGAGGTCTTACAACTTGGCCCAACGAAATAGTTAAAGGCGAGGAATAAACATCTCACGAGACCAGAAATAATCATTGACGAGATGGGAAATAAACATTCAAACTATTGGAGTCTTATAAGCGGCTTCTGATAGACGAGATCTTACAACTTGGCTCGATGATAGTAAGAGGAGAGGAATAAACATCTCGTGAGGCTAGAAATAAGTGCAATTTCCCTCCTCCTTTTTCAAGGAACAAGGATTCCAAGATACCGTCTCTTCCTTTATTTAAGGAATGAAGACTCCAAGAAATATCGCATCTTCCTTTATTCAAGGAACAATGACTTCAAAATGTCGCCATCTTCCTTTATTCAAGGAACGAGGATTCATAAAAATACCGCATCTTTCTTTATTCAAGGAATGAGGACTCGTAGAAATACCACATCTTCCTTTATTCAAGAAATGAGGACTCCAAGAAATATCGCATCTTCCTTTATTCAAGGAACAAGGACTCCAAGATGTTGTCTCTTCCTTTATTCAAGGAATGAAGACTCCAAGAAATACCGCATCTTCCTTTATTCAATGAACGATGACTCCAAGATTTTGTCTATTCCTTTATTCTAAGAACGATGACTACAAGATGCAGCCTCTTCCTTTATTCAAGGAACGGGGACTCCAAGATGTACTGTCTCTTCCTTTATTCAAGGAATGAGGACTCTAAGATGTACATTATCTTCCTTTGTTAAATGAACGATGACTCCAACCGTTTCTCCACTTCTTCCTTTATTAAAGGAACGAGGACTCATAGAATATTGCCTCTCATAATAAGAAAATTATAAGCTAGGGCTCGCCTTCTGTAAATAAGGAAACCTCGAGCTAGGAGCCGCCTCTAATAAATAAGAAAATTATAAGCTAGGCTTGCCTTCAATTAATAAGAAATCCACGAGTTAGAGCTCGCTGTCAATAAATAAGTAAACCTGGAGCTAGGAGCCGCCTCTAATAAATAAGAAAATCATGAGTTAGGGTTCGCCTTCAATTAATAAGAAATCCACGAGTTAGAGCTCGCCTTCAATAAATAAGAAATCCACGAGCTATAATGATAGTAAATAGATAAGAAAACCACGAACTAGCCTTGATGAATGCGGACTTATGGGCTCACCTTCAATGATACAAGGTGTTACAAGCTAGCCTCATATGTGCAAGGTCTTAAAGCTTGTCTCGAATAATAGAAATAGTTATGAAATAGGCATTTGAATAAGAGAGATCCGAGCAATGCATTTTTGCCAAATACATGGTGCGTGCCAATGGCCATTTCCAAGATATGTGGGGCAAAGACAGGATGACATTTCATTTCCTGCAATTAAATTAAGCTCCATCATCACCTTTTTTACATTTCTATGTAGATGTTTCATTTCCAATACAATTTAATTCCAATGAATATTACTGCTTGGCATATCCTTGCACAAATCTGATTGTCACCTTGGAGTATTCTGAA